AGTAGAAGAAGAAGAAGAAAAAGGAGGGGGATACTCTGGTAAACAGGACGGGCGGCTAGGTTACGTGCCGTGTCCGTGGGCTATTAAATTAATTATGCCCGCTTTAATGACTTTTGTTGGCTTTTCCTATTTTATAGATTTATGAAATGTGTAGAATATAAACTAAGACCCTACCGCACTTTTTCGTCTTTAATTGTTTTTAACATGAAGTCTCTGAGGTCTCTGTGTAATTTTAATAGTCCTAGGCTAAGTGTTAATCTTGAAAATACTTCCCTTATTATCGCAATTATTCGTTTGAAAAATTCTTCTCAACTTATGAGGCCGTAAATCAGCAAAGGTGTGTCATAAAGTCACGGAGATGACGAGATGGGTTTATTAACTACATGTAGTTCCGGCTAGTCTAATAATTTTCACGATTATTAATTATCTGCTTTGAATGACTTTCGCTTAGTAAACAAAAATTAAATACAATCGAATGTTCGTGTTTGTTGCGCACTTTAGTTTCAATCGCCCCACAAAGTGAGTGTAATGATTGAAATCGCTTTGGCGACGCTTTAATTGATTTCGAAATGCGCAGTGTCTGCCAAGGGAAATCCGAAATATTTTAACGCCTTTTGCCACATCTTCATGTGAATTGGTTGTTGTTTTGATGCCAGTTTTAGCGGGTCAGTAGGAAATGACGATGGCCAAAGTGACCCAGGAAAGTGCCTCCAATTTTGTAACTCAAATCATGAAAATCATTCAAATTTCACACACGCTTTGCACGATCATATATATGATATTCTTAGATCATTTTCTGTCGTGACTTTTGGGCTCTCAGCCATTAGTTTTGAGTAATTGCAAGCAGAATATATTAAATTTCCTTTGAGCACAAAGTTGCTGGCTCGTGCAAAAATTATATCAAATTTTCGGAACGCTTGCCCAAGGTTTTCTTTCCATATAAATATGACGCGTCTCGACAGACCAAGTCAGTCTAAATTACACGTTATTGAGAGGGGTTTCATGTTTATAAAGGCGTTTTAAAGGGGGTGGGAAACTAAGTTAGTCTCATTTTGGTTTTGGAAAAGGTTTTTAATGGGCTGTACTTTTTCGGTTTATAGTTTCCCCTAGAGATAATGAATCTCGGTATACATAACTACATAATATATTTTAGGTACGTAAATATGTGAGGTGTTGTTCGTATTTTTATAGATAGAAATAGATTTTGACTTAATTTAATTGGCAAATAAGTCACGTTTTCAATTGAAATTAGTTATGAATGGCATAAAGTGTAATTTTGTGAAGTATAGTAGTACAAATTGTTAATAAATTGAATAGAACCATTTCACTGTTATGAATAAATTAAAAATAAATGAAATCAACAGAGCGAATACTTTGAACACCTTTGCATAGAACTTTGGTAAAAGCGTTTAGTTGGCACAGGAAATTTAGTGGTTACCAGGCAATAAGGTAACCCTTTTCGCACCTGCCGTTGATTATTTCCCCCCCAACATCCCTCAAAACGAACCGATTGTAGTCAAGCCACACGTGCTGCAATCGTTTTCGAACCGACTCGGCTAATGGACATTTTAGAAAAGCGACCATGGGTGGGGAAAGGGGATACCATGGGCTGCCAATGACTGCCGTGCATTTGCATTAAATATTAATGGCAAAATGCAATTATTTTCGCACATGCAAGGTGCCCAGCGACCCGGTACTGAACATTAAACAACATTAAACAAGGGACAAGGCACGCGTTGCGCATGTTTGTTGACAATTAATGCCCGGTTTTTCTTGCTCTCGATGCGGTTTTGCAGCTGATGAAAAACAGGGAGCGGTGTGTCTGGTCTAAAAATGGACAAATGCGGCCGGCTATGAACCCAATTTCGCAATAATTTCCGCATAACTCGGACAGGCGGCGCGCACGATCGCCGGGCGAAAAAGATAAAGCCAGTTGAAACTATGGTAGTCAGGTCCACTCTTGTATCCAGCGGGAAATTCTTGCACGGCATTTGGGATGACCCCTTGTGCCATAACTTAAATGAACGCATCCGCTGTGGCATGAACTGATGCCCCTCCTCTCCTCCTTTAGCGACACAAAAACTAAAAAAAAAAAAAGATATTCCAATCATGCATTTGCCCTTCGATGCACTGAACTCTTCTTTTCCTACTCCGCGGGCTGCTGTGGTTGCCTTTTCATCATCATCATCGCCATCATCGCCATCATCGCCATCGCCGCTACCCAACTGGATGGATTTTTACTATGGGTGTAGTCGCGGTTTGTCTGGGTGGCACTTTGATGTTGTTTTAGTGGCTTCTTTCCATTTTCCCCTCCTGTCGTTGCCAGAGGTTATTATCCCCTGATTAACCGCAATTGCCGCTGCTTCTTTTATTTTCTTTATTTTTTGCTTTTGTCTCACTAAACTTGTTGCAATATCTCGTATCTTTTGCTGATGGCCTGACTGACTCCACAAAATCGACGCTCATTCGACTGTCAATTGGTTGCATCACTGGGTTTGTCGACTTTTCTTATCAGCTGTTATTAAGGGAAACGGAAAAAGCTTTCTAGAGTGATTCGTTCATATTTTTGCATCCCATATCTAACGTTCACAACAAAATATGCATAGAAAAGATTCTATTTCATTGTTTAATTTATCATTACTCATACATTTTATTTTAATTTTAAGTTATTTCTTAGCTACAACTTCATTAAAACTTTCCTTCCCGCTAATTGCATCAGATTAGATATCAAGAAATCTTTTTATTAAAAAGTTCCCGCCTTCACCTGTAGTAAAAACTAAGTTTTTATTATTAAAATGGAGATAAGATTGGCGTTCATCACGACTAACAATTCCGTATGTTTTCACTTCAATCGAAATCCCCACTGTATTGCTTCGGGGAAACAAAAGCCTTTAAGTCAAAAGGATAGAAGTGCCCTTTTTTTGGAGAATCCAATTCCAAGCCATCGTACTTTTAATCAAATAACATTTCGAGTACTCTCCAAAGCCACAGAAGCACCGAAACTTGTCATCCAATACAATTTTTTGTGCCCCAGCAAAGTGGCGCAATAAAAGAGCAAACTCAACGCATAATTCCAGTGACAAACCAAGTGGTAAGTATTGATTTTTTGGTCGCTTTTTAGACGCTGAAAACTCAAAATACACTTGGGGGCAAGTGTGTGGCTGAACTGCAGGATACACAGAGAGAAAACATTGATAAGACAGGATTGATAAGATCATTTTTAAGAAAGATCCATTTTGAGTTTCGAGTATGGCTGCCTCTTATTAATTTTAGGCTCTATCCAAATGATACTGAAGAAATTTGATCCTTAAGGGTTTCTTTTTCCGTGTACGTTACTGCAGTGTGAGCACTGTACAGTGGCCCAAAACAGCGACGAACTGGCAGCGCGCGCCATTTGCATTCTTGGCACCATCACAGCGAGAAGAAGGAAAAATGTTGGCAACACTCGGGGCCTTTCAGCCTTCGGTCCTCAGGCCCCAAAGCCCCTTTCCCTAATCTCCCGACCTGTAGTTTTGTGTGTTTTTGGCATGTTTCATTGGCAGGCGCGCTTAAAATATGCTAAAAAAGAGAGAAAAAAGTCGCGCAGCAGGTGGATTGTATTTGGATTGGAGTGTTTCGTAGTAGAGTCGAGTTAAGTGAGTTACTACACACCCATTTTTCAATTGCTGTTGTGTTTATTGTTCGCTCGCTTGATAAAATATACCGCAACACCCACCTAGAATAATGGGTTCAGGAAGAGGATTCGGAACGGGAGCAAAGTTGTCAAACTACTGCAATGGCGTGCCAACGTCACTCGGAATATCCTTTTCCCTACCCTCACTTTGGTTCCATTTCGATTTGACGCAGTAAACTCGGTTCAAATTTATATCAGACAAAACTTTGAGCTGGCAATATTAGAGGACCCAAAAAACTGTTTAGCGGTCTGAAGGTTAGAATTGGTCGGACATGCTCTGTCTGGCTGAATGCTCATCGAGCTGTGTCTGTGCTTCGACCTTTTTTCTATAGAATGATTTGTTTCCGATGTTTCATCCTTTTCTTTTGCACTTTGGCAAATACACCCAGCTCGTTGGGCATAAAATTTATCTACTGTTTGGTTTATTTATAGGAAAAAGTTGATTGTTTTCGCAAACCTAAACGATTATTAGTTGGGGATACCAAAAGGGAGAATGGATAGAAGGAAACCTAATAATTGTCAGAGAAATGTTTAAATTGACAAAAGCAAAATGTGATAACCAAGTGTCTATTATTGCTATTACTAACAAAATCCCAACTGATATGATAAAACATTTAAATTAAACCCCCCATTGCTATATATCGCAATAATTGATTCTGCCTCTTCAAAGATAATTATGGTTCATAAATACAATTCAATTCGTAATTCAATTTCCAAATTAAGCAAATCACTCGAAAGAATCTCTCGATCGGTCAAAATCACGCGGTATCATCTCACACAACCCACACTGAAACACACTCCAGTTAATTATCTACTCAAAACAATTATAAGTTGGCTCATAAAAGTGTATTCCCCAACCAATTGGCAACAGAGAAATCGAAAAGCAAAAAATATCGACTAGCGTGTGTCCATAAATGTTTATTACTCATATGGCAATTTAAACAAATAAAAAATCAGAAAAGAATGCGATTGTGAGGAGAAAACCGGCTGGCGTCAGAGAAGCGAACAAAACAAACAGTATATGGTTAATATATATTGATAATTTAGGCAAAGTCTGACAATAATTGATAAAGGTAAATAAAATCGCCAGCCCCACAGACACTGACGTCATGGATTGCAGCTACATTTTATCATCAGCACAGGAAAAATAGATATATTATTCAACGTTGACTTTAGTAACTGTCTGGTCGTGTGGAGGACACCTGAACATATCTATTTATATTTCTGTTAATTATGAGTAACTGAAGTGACGCGCATTGTTTTGTACTTGTAAATTGCTTGGGACAAGATATAGAGCGGGAAATGAACAATCTTAATGCATATTTACATGGAATATTCCGATGATCCAAATGGCTGATTTCCTGCCAACTTATTGCGCTTTGTTTCCACTTCGCAGCTTCTGGCAGAACCTAATTGCCTTTTTTCTTGCGGTTTAATTATTATATTTTCCTGTATTTTTTGCACTATCGACACTCCCACAAACACACAGACAGAATTGATAAGACGACACCTTATCAGTTGAATTTAACGATCGTCTTCGAACTCTTTGATTTCGGCCAACTTAATCTTTGCACATGGCCAGCGTAAATAAACGAAGTCACACAAGTAAACCAAAATGGATTTATAAAATATTATTTTTTTATTTTCTTTTTGCAGTTAAGCTCTTGGGTGTTTTCTATCACCAAAAATAATCCAAGCTGTGCGCTAAAATTTCTATTTCATTCCACTTTTTTGTATTTTTGTTTTATCAAATTTTTTGGCACTCGAAAGACGGGAAGAATGCGAACGAAAAACCGAAAAGAAATTTCGATTCAGTTTCAGTTTTGAAAGGCCGCGCACTCCGACGATTCCGTATCCGTCACCTCAACATATTGTGTGGGTTCTCCGACTCAGACTGAGCGGTAGTATAGTATCGCCCGACGCCGAGAGAGACCCGAATGGAACGCACAGCTGACTGCCAGAGCAACGCTCACAACAAGTGGCTCTAAGAGAGCGAAACGGCTACGTATCCCTTCTCTTATGCTCAAAAGTATCTCTCAGATACAATGGTGTACTACAGAATCTTTCAGATATAACACAGGGAGCCCTCCAAACTGTGAACCCATAAAAACCAAGTGTTTACTGCATAAAGAGCAGGTTTTCTCTTAGTCCGCTGTTGGCAGTTGACTTTGCTAATAAAAGGGACGTTACTTTTTGAACTTCCAGCGAGGATTTGACCAGGGTTCATAAAATTACGTATACTAAGCAATTGTTTAGCATCCTTAATTAATTCATCTTTGATAAAAGTATGAAATGAAAAAAATATACACTTTGTTTTAAAGCATTCTTACTATCTTAATATATAAATTTATTATATATTACATTAAAATAATTTGTATATAAAAAAGTTCTTTGTACACCATATTTGTGTCGCAACTAGCACTTTACTTTAAAAACTAGTAAGGATCTCGGTACTACAGTATGCATTTTTATAGTATAATATACTGTATTGGCGGTTACCTTTAGTAACATTTCAGTAACAATAAACACCCTTTCCTCCCTAAATCATAATTACCATATATTTAAAGGGCACTTTTTAGCGGTTGTCGCAACACTTACTTAACATTGCTCCCATAAATGTGACGCAGAAGTTAAAATGGGACAATGGCATGGGAGGAAGTAATTTTCATTTGGCCTGCTCCTGATTTTGCATAAACACATGAAATTGAAACACGTGAGAGCTAAGTGAAGCCATTTGCATGCAGACGCCATAAACTGCACTGCTTGTCCCTGTACCCCTTCCACCGTTCCCTGTGCCATTCCCGTTGTTTGTTTCTCGTTCGCTGACTTCGATTAGTTTTCCTGGCCATTGTTTGGAGCTCCAGCACTCAAAAAAAAATGTGTCAGGATTAACTTGATACTTGCGGTAACATTCTTACCACTGATTAGTGTAAATTAGGTTTTAGAAACTATAGTTTTAGATTTTTCTTTATTTGAAAATGCACTGCTGTATCCTTTATAAAGAGTAAGGACTTCTATTTAAAGGAGTATCAAAACTTATCCATTTCTTTTGTCAGTGTGGTGAAATAAAAGCCAAAGAAGGGTATGGAGTAATGGCCAGTGCAATGGCCATCGCAGGCACCCGTTTACCGACCCTTCCCGTTCCGTTCCGTCTCGTCCTGTTCGTCCATAACCTCAAAGCAGACATCATAAATCAAAGAACAAATTTGCACTTCAAGTGCGCTTTCAATAAGTTTGCCTCTTCGGACATTGTTGTGTTGGAAAATTGTTGTTCTGTTGTTGTTGTCATAAATCATAATTTAAAGCTCGACTAGAGATGGTGGTTGAACATTTCAAACAACTTAATGAGACAAAGGAAAGATTGAAAAACTTTTCTATTAGCATTTTTGAAAGGACGGTACGACAAACATTATTAAAGAGCAATTCAAGAAGAGAAACTTCCGAACAGAGAGTCGTTAACGAGACATTTGTGGATCAGATGAGATGACTAAACATTCGAGCAATCTTATAAAGCAAACAACAATAAACAACAGAAGCAAATCACGAGAAGCAAGCTCAAATGGAATGGCGAAAGTTCAACGGAATATTCTGATTGTGTGTGTTTTTTCCAAACTTGTATATTTGAGCAAAAACAACAATTTATCAACGCTTGAGCCCCAGCTGCCCATCGAAAGAGAGCCTGATTAGCGAGAAACACGCAAATATTATCAGCTGGGCGGTAAAAAGGGATGTTTATAACTAGGAAATATTGCCAAAATATTCCAGCGCAACTAATCGCAATTTGTTTTCAAGAGTCGTCAATGGTTCCTCCCAAATCCAAATCCGATAACTACAAGTACGTCAGCTGTGATTCATCCATTTTAATACAAATAGGAAATATTTGCGCGCACTCCGGATAGCTAATTGTCGAGATATGTATAAAATATTTCCGAGGAATTCCTTAGAATTGGCTTACATACATAAATGGAAAAGATAATATCTAAGGAATGTCAGATAAGTCAGATATGGCAATGTCTTAAAAATATTTGTTTTTGCTCTAGATAATACTGGAAGTAAAATGAAAGCAAAACAATAAGGTAAATTGTATCTATTTTATTATCTATCTATCTATTATAACAATATCTTTACTAAGTAGTGTAAGCTACAAATACTCTAAAAATAACATGAAGTAATGTTCACTACTATTAAAAATAAGCGTAGTTCTCTTAATTTGCTCTGTAAAAGAAACTGGGCGTATTAAAATATTTTAAAGCATACTTTTGGGCTTGCATGTTTATGGCTGAATAACAGTGGGACTGTCAATTTGGCTATTTTTTAAGGAAAGGCAAAAATTTTGATCTCAAAAAAGGCAGAACTATAAAAATAATTTTTTACTAATTTGATAAATATTATTATATTATAAAATTAGTTGAGATTAGTACCCAAAAATTATAGATAACATTCCGGGGTACTGTGTTAATTTAAATCTGAACTACTTTGCCGGCCGTGAATACCCGAAAAGTTTTATACGACTGTCCTGTCAGTTTGCCTGCAATTTATTGCCGCTGCAAACAAAGCGTACTCAACTGCACAGCACCCAAAAAACTTGACCCAACTTAACCCGAAAGCTGAACTCAGCTAATTGCCGAAAAATTGAAACTAAAACCAGACACCAGAAACCAGGAGCGAATAAATAGGGAAGAGATTTTGTAATTTATGCACTGCGGCAAGGGGCAAAACCATCGACCATCCTCCAGGTAGGGATGAAGGGAAGGGAAAGGAAGAACCGAGGTGTCAATTGCCCTTCCAGGTAGAAATAATGAAGTGGGATTCGTTAAAACCAGGCAAGCCACCCGGAAAATGCAGGCCAAATTATGCGTAATAAGCCGCAGCGGAAAATTTGAGGAATCAGCGAAATTTTGTGGAAAATATAGCGGTATAGAAATATGAACATTGTGCGGTGGATTAGCGGAATTTCGCTGAAGCGAACACTTTTTGCTTAGTACTTAAAGAATAAATAGTCTCTCTAAAAATAGTTTATATAGGCGTCAGTTATCAGTGCGCAGACCTAGACCCATTTGAAACCTTATCGAGTACTCTAAGCCGATTAGCTTAGCACGATTCTTTAATCGAGTACTTAACCTTCTTAACTATTTCCACAATAGTTTGGTTTTTTCATTCATAAGTTATTTTCTAGTCTGTGGCTAATAACACAAACAATAAAGATATTGCTTATTATTGAGTGAATCACGTTCTTGCTTACCCACTCACCTTAGTTTTAGTTCTGTTTACAATCTTACGATATAGGAATTTGTACATAGCACTACCGCAACAACGATAACAACTGTATATCATACAATAAATAACAATTTGTTGGCTTTTTGATCACGTTTCTTGAGACATACACACAAAACGCAATTAACCAGAGATCAAGATATATGTACTTATAACAATTTAACAAACACAGAGCCCGAAAAAAACAATTTAACAACCACAGAGCTCGAAAAAAAAAACACTTGAAAACGATCAACGTGTGTCGGCGGGACGGATGATCGAGGAACGTAGGTTTCTTACTCCCGCGAAACGTCATTGATGACTAAGAGAGAGTCGAGAGCCGCGGAGAATTACGAGCCATATGAGTTATGAGATCGGAAACTCGAAGATTCTGCCTGTGTTCGTATCACAGGAGCGAAATCCAAAGAGGGCAGGCAGACAGGATCGTTTTTTCAGGGACCAAAGATAGGATTGTGATCCGTGTATTGACCAAAAATTAAAATTAATTCTTAAATCTGGTTTCTATAATCCGTAATTGTAAGCTTGAAAGGCAGAATAAAACTGTTTTTAAAAGCATTATGTATAAAATATTAAGAAAAAACAAGTGAGTAACTATAAGATTAAAAGAGTTTTGTCATAAAAAATCTAAAGTTACTCCCTAATTCGAAAGACTGATAATTGGGATTCCTAGCATATTAAAATTATGATATAATACTAACAAAAATGGATTTTTGTATCTTAATTTAAAATTAAAGTGATATATCCCACTTTAGATGATTTTCTGATCCTCTATTACATTCACACAAATGTATATGTATCATATTTGAAAGTCATTTGTGTGTAACCTCCTTTTTTCAATTCCCCTCCTGTTATTCAGTCTTTGCATTTACAGCTACCTTTTTTCTCAGGCTATAAATTCAAGAGGCTCCCACGTTATTTTTTTTTCTTCTTTTTTGGCAAGCTGCAAAAATAACAATACGAAAATAGCAAACGGCGGTAAAACAAATGTCAACCGAAAAAGTTCAAAGATGAGCTGTGCAGCAGCAACAAAATCACAAAACGTAAAGTGGGCACACTCCATAACAACGGTACTTTTTTATTACACTGTTCATTAAGCATACTTTTGTTCGATTTTTGTCCAAACAGCACGGAATGTCAATGAGGAAATGTCAGCGACAATAGAAAGGTAAAGAAGACGCGCCAAAAGTCATTAAAGACGATCAAATAAACTTACTACAATAAACGCGCTACAAGCAAATTGGTCAAAGCGAAATGTGAACAAACTAATTAGCCTCAAGAACAAAACAAAGGAGAAACAGAGTTGGAGATGAAGAAGAGCTATCGATGAAGAAGAAGATTGTACAGGTGTCCAGAGGTGAGCAGCCTGACATTTGCTCGGAAAAAGGTGAAGGTCTACCGAACGAAGCGGATGAATCAGCGGATATAATATGGGGAATATGTATAATTGCAGATATTGGAAGAGAACACAGGGAACTCCTTTTTGCAATAAGGTATACGTTCTGAAAGATTGTAATTATATTTAAGAATCATTATAGATTTATTATAAATATAAATATATGTTCGTTGTTTTTATTAAAAAATAAATATTTATACATTTCTTAGGATCAGTATTTAATAT